CACTTGTCCTTGTTGAACCTCATCAGATTTCTTGCGGCCCAATCCTCCAATTTGTCTAAGTCATTCTGGACCCTATCTCTGCCCTTAAGTGTATCTACCTCTCCCCGCAGCTTAGTGTCATCCGCAAACTTGCTGAGGGTGCAATCCATCCCCTCATCCAGGTCATTAATAAAGATATTGAACAAAACCAGTCCTAGAACCGAACCTTGGAGCACTCCGCTAGAAACTAACCACCATCCTGACATCGAGCCGTTGATTACTACCTGCTGGGCCAGCCATCTTTCTATCCATCTTACCATCCATTTATCCAATCCACATTCCCTTAACTTGCTGGCAAGAATATTGTCGGAGACTGCTAAATAATAAATAATAAAAGTTGCACAACTGTTTGCACTCTGGTGGGACCTAGATGCTCCCACTGAAATCCTCCTTCAGACAGGCACTGAACAGTCATAGAGTAAGAGTCAGTTTCTGATCCAAAAAGCCTACAATGTAAGTACACTCCCCTTTCCACAGACAGCTTAGCTGGTATTTGGTGCTAAGAATATTCACGTCTCTGCTTCCTCCTCCTCCATCCCCGCACACTTTAGGATCTCCAGCTCTCCAAAGAGGGAGCTGGTATGAAGCTGTCCCTGAGTGCTGAGGAGTGCAGATACAGCCATTGTGTGTGGTCCTAGCATGAGAGCACAAAGAGGAAAGGTTCTTTATATGCTTATCCAATTGACATCTGTGCAAGAACAAACTATAATGTAACTATTATTTTACTGTCTACAGGTGTTGCCTGTTGTCCTTAAGAGAAAGGATATTAAGGACACAAAGTAAGATTTTCCTGATTCATTTAGTGTGGGGAAGTTGTCCATTTATTACCTGTAAAACACTGAAGTGTGTCAGGGTAGAAAGAGGGATTTCCTTTGCACGTATAAAACTTTATGACATCGTCTGTCAGCAGAGATTTATTAAAGAGAGGCTGAATGGAGATCCTTAGTATATACCAGTGGACCTAGAGAAAGGGAACATGTCAGCCTAATTCTACCCTACACATTCCATTTTTGCATGATTCATATTTTAAGGAAGATAAAAGTAAACCTGTTATATTCAGGCATGGAAAGAGGCCTGCAGAATTTTTGGAGGGGGAGCTAAGGACAAGCTACACTGTCTCCTGGTCCCAGTATGAAACAGCCTCTCATGTAAACCTAATATATTCAATTCTGTTTTGATGTGTGCAGGTCTAGGGGCATCAAAGGCCTGGTAGATGCCATAGAGTCATAGGATCTTTACTCAGCTGGACAATTAAAATCTGCTTTTGGCCTCCCCCAAGAGCACATTTTTGAATACTGCCAATTTAGTAACCATACATTACAGACATTTGTGAGCCTGGAATTAGTTGACCCTGTCACCCTTGGAGAAGATTATTAATTTGCCTGGGTTGCCTGAAGATTTGATTTCATCTTTTTCCAGAGTGTTAAGTGAGTTCCACAGCTTTATTGCAGGAAAAGCCAGGAAAGCCTTACTACTCTCTTTTCTTCCTTTGGTCAGAATCCTGAAATCTACCATCTCATGATCACTGCTTCCCAGGTTGTCACCCACCTCCCCTTCCCCTATTAGTTCTTCCCTGTTTGTGAGCAGAAGGTCAAGCTGCGCACGGCCCCTGGTCGGATCCTTCAGCACTTGTGTCAAGTAGTTATCCCCAACATTCTCCAAAAACTTCCTGGATTGCCTGTGTACTGCCGTATAGGTTTCCCAACAGATGTCGATGCTAATAGATGCTATGCCTGGGGCGCAGCAGAGCACGGACAAGGAGAGACAGCTGAGACTTAGTGCAGACATACATAAGGATCTTGCGCAAAACGGACCCATCCACACTGCTTGTTTTTGCACAAAAAGTGACTGGAAGAGATTATGCAAATGAAGCATGAGAAAATGCTAATACATGCTTCATTTGCATTGCCTCTTCTGGCAAAACTCTTAGGCTGCGTCTAGATTGGCATGATTTTCCGGAAATGCTTTTAACGGAAAAGTTTTCTGTGAAAAGCATTTTCGGAACAGAGCGACTAGATTGGCACAGATGCTTTTCCGCAAAAGCACTTTTTGCGGAAAAGCGTCCGTGCCAATCCAGACGCGCTTTTCCGCAAAAAAGCCCCGATCGCCATTTTCGCAATCGGGACTTTTTTGTGGAAAACAAATCTGAGCCGTCTACATTGGCCCTATTGCACAAAAGATTTGTGCAAAAGGACTTTTGTCTAAACATGCGCAGCATAGTATTTCCGCAAGAAGCACTGATTTCTTACAGTAGGAAGTCAGTGCTTTTGCGGCAATTCAAGCAGCCAGTGTAGACAGCTGGCAAGTTTTTCCAGAAAAGCGGCTGATTTTCTAGAAAAACTGGCCAGTCTAGACACAGCCATAGTGTAGACATAGCCATGAAGTTCGCAAACCTACCCGAGAGCTTAGCAAGGACGCAAAGGGTTACATGACAGGGGAGATTCCAGAAGACTGGAAAAGGGCAAATATTGTGCCCATCTATAAAAAGGGGAATAAGAACAACCCAGGAAATTATAGACCGGTCAGTTTAACGTCTGTCCCAGGGAAGATAATGGAGCAGGTAATTAAGGAAATCATATGCAAACACTTGGAAGGTAATAAAGTGATAGGGAATAGCCAGCATGGGTTTGTGAAGAACAAGTCATGCCAAACTAATCTGATAGCTTTCTTTGATAAGATAACGAGCCTTGTGGATAAGGGAGAAGCGGTGGATGTCATATACCTAGACTTTAGTAAGGCATTTGATACGGTCTCGCATGATATTCTTATTGATAAACTAGGCAAATATAACTTAGATAGGGCCACGATAAGGTGGGTGCATAATTGGCTGGATAACCGTAGTCAGAGAGTTGTTGTTAACGGTTCTAAATCCTGCTGGAAAGGGATAACAAGTGGAGTTCCTCAAGGGTCTGTTTTGGGACCCGTACTGTTCAATATCTTCATCAATGATGTAGATATTGGGATAGAGAGTACTCTTATTAAGTTTGCAGATGATACCAAACTGGGTGGGGTTGCAACTTCTTTGGAGGATAGGGACATAATTCAAAATGACCTTAGCAAGTTAGAGAAATGGTCGGAGGTAAACAGGATGAGGTTTAATAAGGAGAAATGCAGAGTGCTCCACTTAGGAAGGAACAATCAGTTCCATACATACAAGATGGGAAGCGACTGTCTAGGAAGGAGCATGGCGGAAAGGGATCTAGGGGTCATAGTGGACCACAAGTTGAATATGAGTCAACAGTGTGATGCTGTTGCCAAAAAAGCAAATATGATTCTAGGTTGTATCAACAGGTGTGTTGTAAGCAAAACTCGTGAAGTCATTCTGCCGCTCTATTCTGCACTAGTTAGGCCTCAGCTGGAGTACTGTGTCCAGTTCTGGGCGCCACATTTCAAGAAAGATGTGGAGAAATTGGAAAGGGTACAGAGAAGAGTGACAAGAATGATTAAAGGTCTAGAGAAGCCTATGAAGCCAGGCTTCATGAACTGGGCTTGTTTAGTTTGGAAAAAAGAAGATTAAGGGGGGACATGATAGTGGTTTTCAAATATCTAAAAGGGTGTCACAAGGAGGAAGGCGAAAATTTGTTCCTCTTGGTTTCTGAGGACAGGACATGGAGTAATGGGCTTAAAGTGCAGCAGGGGAGGTTTAGATTGGACATTAGGAAAACATTCCTAACTGTCAGGGTGGTCAAATATTGGAATAAATTGCCAAGGGAGGTGGTGGAATCTCCCTCTCTGGAGATATTTAAGAACAGGTTAGATAGACATCTGTCAGGGATGGTGTAGACGGAGCTTGGTCCTGCCTTGAGGGCGGGGGGCTGGACTCGATGACCTCTCGAGGTCCCTTCCAGTCCTATTATTCTATGATTCTATGTCAGAAGTATCGAAGGGGACTCCAGGCAGAGGGCAGCCAAGCGCAGTGAAGTATTTATGCAGAATGGGATGCCACCACACAGTTCAGTCATACTTGGGAGGAACTAAGCAGTCTTTGGGCACCAGGGAATCCATTGCTGAGCACGTTCCAGCCCAATTGGCCATGGGGAGTAGTTTGCCACTGCCTACCAGAGTGTGGAGAACTGAGTCAGACTCCTCTTGTCCCACAGTGCTCCATGGCCTACTCAGCTTGGCATCTGGTGCTCTGTGGTAGGTCATGGGGTGTTCTTTCACCCCGGTTTAATAGCCCACAGACCAGGCCCGCTCTGTTGTGGAGTTCCTAGAACCACTGGCTGCAGCTCCTTAGAAACCAGCACACAGAGTAGAAACTCGCAGGCCCTCTCATCCCACTTCTCCTCAGCCAGCCCAACACCCAGCGAACAGTTTCCCCTCTGTTCCACTTCACTGGCCCAGAACTGGACAGTTGCCTGCAGCCCTCTTCACCCACAGCAGAGCAGCAAGCTTCTTCCCCTCCAGAAGGGCAAACAAACATACTGAACAGGAGACTGGATCGAGGCAACTGGCCAGTGAGCAGCACGTCCCCACTGCCTGAGAACCTGATGGCCCAGAACCCATCCCATCCAAAACACACACGCACACGCCATCCCACAGAAGAGCAGCACTGGCTTGGGCTGCCCTGAAGGGCAGAATCTCTCCCAGGCCAGTGGGGTACAGGCTGCTCACATTCCCAGGTAAGGCAATCCCTCTCAGCACAGTCTAGTTTTTAGTTTTATTGAAAAGAAACTGTTTTGCCCACCATTCATCAGTGCATCACTCTCATGTTTGTCCCCTTGGCAGCCCGGGGCCCTCCGCTGGGACCAGCAGGCTGCCAGCTAAGAAACCCAAGAGGCACTTTCGGAGCATCCCTGAAGCATGAGCAGCACTCTCCTGCTCCAGTCCCTTCAAGGAAGTCCTACCCCACTTGCAGGCACAGGCTGACCTATCCATGCCCCCTATACTAGGGGGAAGAAGCTGAGTCCAGCACATGCAGGTGGGGTTCTGCCAAGACCAAAGCTCTCAACAGGAGTAAAAGGAAGGTGCCCTCAGCTCTCCATGTCTCACCCTGCTAAGCAAGGCAACCCCAGGTGCAGGCCAGCTGGAGGCTGGGCTAGATGGGAGCACTCACAGGAGACAGAGACTCCAGAGCATCTTCCAGAAGCTAGCACCAAGCCTTCAGACTCACAGGAGAGCCCCAGGGTGAGCGCGCGCGCAAGCGGGCAGGGAGCCCCAGCAATCCCTGTTCTGCTGTCTGGTGGTACAGCCAGCTATAGGAACTAGAAAAAGTCGAAGCAGCCCAAGCTCACACACCTTGGACCCGACTGGCAGAAGCATTTTGCTCAGATGGCCAGTCACAGGCAGCTGTAGCCATGCTGCACTCCAAATCCCACAGGTGCTTCTGACTTGGTCTTGTGGGGTTCCTGCCAAGGAGCTCTTTCATGCAGATATTTGGGCTTGGGTTGGAGCCCACAACTCTAGGACCCTGTAAGGTGAAAGGGTCCTAGAGTCCAGGCTCCTGGCTAAGGATCCACACCACCACAACACAGCCCCTTAGCCTGAGTCAACTGGCCTGGGCCAGCTGCAGGTGTCAAAGGCAAACCCAGAGGTCCACATTGGGAAGTGGCCATGCTGGATCAAAGCCTCAGTTTCTGTCCCAGCACCCTATTTCTGCCAGACTATCCCCACTGCCAGGATTCATAACAAATCATCTGAGTCCAGGCCCTTGAACTGGGTCCTGGCTGTTGCTACACAGACAGGCTGTTATAAGCTAGCTCTGAGCTCCCCTGCCCTATGGGGTAGCTGCAGACAGGCTCAGTCAGTTTTCATGGGCTCCTTCTTGCTCTGTGTGGCTTCCCGGAGGATCTTCACCAGGGACAGCAGAATGGGCACCGCCATGGGCAGGAAGAGTGGGATGTAGATGGCAAATTTCTGATCATCGGGGAAGTAGAGGAGATGCAGCAGCGAAGGGTCAAAGAAGGCCCGCTCGGAGGAGGTGACTGCCTCTTTGCTGGCCTGGAATGCGGTGCCCAGGTGGCCTGAGGCCAGCTCTAGCAGAGCAATCTGCGCTGATGCTACTGCACGGTATACCTGGATGGGAGCACACAGAGTCAGCACAGAGCAGCTCCTTGTCTGGTCCAAGCACTTCCAGGCACATGTGCGGTGGCTCAGCTCTGGCAGCCGTGGTGGCTGATTTTTGCATTGGGACTGAGGCAGTGGCAGGAGCTGGAGCATGAAGTGCCTCCTTCCCCCTCCCCTCAGCAATAGCAGTCCAGCTGCCCCCCTCCTACACGCAGCTAATTTTGCCGCCTGCGGCACTGAGGCAGCAGCAGAAAGTGCCTCCCTCCCACCTTGGTATTGGCGGCCCAGATGGGGCTCCACACTCCCCCCACCCCCCATGGGGGTGCAAGACATGCTTGAGGAGGGAGAGAGTGCAAAGGAGGAGGGAGCACACGACACCAATGGTTGCTCCCTCTGCCCGCATGGAAGTAATGGCCATGCTCCCTAGAGAGGGTAGCCTCTTTCTCTGGGGAGTGCGGAGGTGGGGTCACAGAGCAGGAGGGTGTTGGCATGGACTGTACAGGTCAGAGGTTAATGGGTCAAAGGATGCTAAGGAGGCACTGGGGAGCAAGGGGCTGGGTAGAGCTTAGGGGGACAGGAAACATGAATATGCAAATAAGATGTTACCAGTCCAACAAAAGTTTGTGAATGGGTTTGCCAGTCCACGGCATAAAAAAGGTTGCCGCTGCTCTAGTGACTCAAGCTGCTAGGCCTGATTCAGCCCTCTAGGACAGTGGCAGGTGGCTGCTGCAGGTCTGGGGGCCAGGGTGCACCCTGGACCCCTAACCCCTAGAGCCCCCATCCCTCCACTAACCACTGGGCCCAGCCACTGACCCCCCCAGTGCCAGCCTGCTGTCCTCAGAGCCCCCCAGTGCCAGCCCCCCATCACCAAATGCCTCAATGCCACCCCCCCCCCAGTATTAGCCTCCTGTCTGTAGAGCCCCACTGCACCTAAACGCCCCAGAGCCTCCTCCCAATGCTTGGCCCCGTTATTAGCCCCATCCCCAGAGCCCTCCAGTGCCAGCCCTGCCCCCATAGCCCATCACTACTAGCCCCACTTTCAAAACTCCCCAGTGTCAGCCCACCACCTCTTAGAGTTCCCTAATACTTGCCCTGCCCCCAGAGCACCCCAGTATTAGCTTCACCCCAGAGCTCCCCATTGCCAGTCCCCTGCCTCTTGACCCCCCCCAGCACTAGCCCTGCCCCTGGAACTCCCAGTGCCTGCCCCCTCCTGCCCCCCAACTAGACCTGCGCTGCTTCTCAGCCACCAGCTGAATGCTGCTGCCCAAGTCACAGCTGCGCTAAGGCTGCCATGCTGGGCTCTGCCACACAGTGAACTGCTCTTCCACATCCAGGAGAACCCCCCACCCCTGGATGGCTGAGAGGTGGGGCAGGACATGCCTCTCCCAACAGACACAGCAGGAAGGGGGGAAGAGAGTTGGGCGGTGCATCCCAGCCCCGACTCCCAGAGCCAGCAGGGCCTGGTAGCCAGCAGTTCACAAACTGGCACTAGCCCGCAGACTAGTGGTTGGGAACCGCTGCTTTAGGTTAATGGACTCTGACAATCGTTGCCTTCCCCCTCCCCAAGAGGGAAAATGATTACAGAAGATTGGGGAGACAAGGACTCTGGCAGCAGCAACATGTAGGGCTTTTGTGTGAGGCTGGAAGCCACCTGCCTGCCATGTGGGACCCTCCCAACAGCCACCCACCTCAGAAGCAACATCATCCTTGATGACAATGTTCCCGATCTTGTCTAGCAGCTGGGCCAGAGAGGTGAGAGTGGTGGACACCGTGGCAATGTTCTCAATTGTCCGGGTCCAAAGCAGGCGGTCCAGCTCCCAGTCAGCCAGCCCCTCGCTCCCAGGGCTCACCAACAGGAAGTCCTCTGGGAGTGGCTCCTGGGAGATGCCAAACAACAACCTGTGGCAGAGAAGGGCAGATCAGGTCACCAGGCCAGCTCTTCAATGGCTCGCACGCCCTGCAGCAGAGGCATGGAATGGGCACAGCTCTCAACTTCCTTTCCTGGAGCGAGTTCAACCACCAACACTATTGAACAGCCATCAGCCAGGGCAACTCCCTAGGGGGTGAGAGGAGCCCCAAGCCAGCCAGTGACCCAATGACGTTTATCCTCACGTTGCCAGAGGGCCTAGGAAAAGCACAGACCTGCCAGAGAAGGGGGCGACATGAAGGCAGCATCTCAGCCTGAGGGGGCCATGCTGATCTGGTGGGACAGAACATAATGAATACCGAGAATGCAGGGAGCAACGTCCTTACCGTAGCTGGGCCAGGAACACCTCCATCACTTGCACCATGTCCACGTCTACCCGCAGTGGGAGAGGCGCCTTTTCAGGAGCTGGCTGGTCAATGTTGTACACCTACCAAGACAGCAAGAGGCAGCCTCTGCCCCACCACACAGGGTCCCCCAGCCGTTGTCCACAGCTCTCAGTCACCCTGCAGTGCTGAGCAGCTGTCTTATTCAGGCTATTGACAGAGGGCCTAGGCCCAGGCCCAGCCCAACTATCTCCTATCATAGGAAGGGTCAAGAAACTGATGCCAAGTGGAATAAGCTGATAGGGTGTGAGCATTGCTGAGCCATGGCAGGACACTGCTGGGCCTGGAGGAGCTCTCAAGCACAGCACAGGGCTCCAGCTGGCCAGCTCCTGCCAGTCACAGCCCCCAGGATGGAGGCAGGGGACCAAAGGGACGGCATAGGCCCTCCCACGGGAGCAGAGCGAGGCTTTGCTCATGCAGGGCATGGCAGGGCTGGGCCGGGCCAAGCCCAGCCCCTTCTCCTTACCATGATCCCACCCCAGCGGGGGCTGTGAAAGGCATTAGTTCCCACAGGAGCACCGTCTTTGTCCTGGATGTAGAGGGGGGAATGGACACGCTCTGGCACATACAGCAGGAAGTTCAATACGGGGTAGAGCGAAGTGGCACTAGAACCTGTAGCAACACAAAGTGACCCCCATAGCTTTTGTGGGGCAGTCCAATAGGGAAGCTGCTTGCAGAGCTCACCACCTGGAATGTTCCTGTGGGGCAGAACGGGACCTCCCCACCTCTCAACCTGTTCCTGAGAAGAGGTGTGTGGCCTGAGGGTTACATCGGTTCTTTCAATATTGCCCATATGTTGAGATCCTACGTGAGTCGCAAACAGCACGAATTCTGCTGGTCTCAGCGCAGGGCTGGGGAGAGGACTTTGCCTGCCAGCCTTTCCCCTCAGCAGCACCGAACACTCAAAGCTGCTTTGGGCAGGGAACTGGACTCCACCTCCTGAGGTCTCTGCCAGCCCTAGGATTCTGTGAAAGCAGCCACAGTAAGGACACAGGGTGGCACTTACCCAGCCTGGCTTCTACCGGATTAATGACGTGGGGGAGACTGTGCGCGCTCAGGATGAAGCTGGAGGAGGCCTTGTCAAAGCGGGGTGAGACCCCCAGGGCGGCATAGTACAGGATCTGAGGGGATCACCAAGTAGATGAATGTTGTGGGAAGGAGACCATCTCTGTGGCCAGCCTGGGTGGAGGCACCTTCTCACTCCCACCCAGCCTCTCACCTGGGAGTCCACAGAGAAGTTGGCCACAGAGCCCAGCTTGTTGAGGAAAGGCTGCACATAGCTGCTGACAGCTGCCTCGATGTCCCAGTGCACATCATGGGACTTGGGGTCCGGGTTCAATAAGCTGAAGGTGATTTCGTATCCTGGGAGAGCAGAGGCTGCATCAACATCCCACTGCAGCAGCACATGCCAGGGCAGCTCCTGCCCACAATGGCCATGCCCAGGGCACGAATGCCTGACCAAAATTCCAGATCTGAGCAGATGCCACATGGGAGAGAGAGAACAGAGCTACACTCCAAAGAATACCTGTGGGATCCAGCCTCACACTCCTAAGCTAAGCAGCTCCCAAGCAGTGGCACAAAGCACTATCAGGGTGGCTTGCCAGGACACACAGGGGTGTTTGTTAATCAAAGGGAGGGGGGGTGGCTGGGAATCCCAGGGTAAGGGAGAGGAATGTGGCCCACGTGGGCTCAGTGGTGCCCCCAGTCCTGCCCAGGGAAGACAGCATGCTGCAGAAAACCATGGAAACAGCTTCTTATGTCAGGTGCCCACAGCGTCCTACCCAGGCTGGATTTGAACGGGTGCCTTGTGTCCGTGGGCATGCGGTCAGACAAGGCAGTGGCGATAGAGTCAATGGTGAAGGACATGGCCTGCACAATCTGCTGCACGCGGGCACTAACAGCAGCCAGAACATCCCCTGAGCCTGGCGTACACCGCATCACAGCACTCCGGTGATTCCCGACGTACACGCCAACACCCTGCAGAGAAGGCAGGGAAGTAAATCAGGGCAGGATGTGTGACCCAGTCTTGCTCCTGGGAACAGAGCAAACAGGGCTCAGTGCACCCTGGGCAGCCTGCATAGCCCCTAGCTGGGGTGCCCCACACCAACCCCTTCCTAGGTCTGGACAGCAGCCTCAGCCCTCAGGCAAAGAGGGTCTTGGACCCCACTGGCAGACACCTGGATTGGGACAGGAGATGGACCACTAATGTCGGAGGACAGCGGAGACACCACAAAATACACAGGCTAGCCATGCCCTTTCCTGCCTATGGGGCACACACCATGAACCATGGGAAGCTTTTCTGTTTATGCAGAGGGGTACCCTTCCATGAATGCCTCTTCCCTCTTAGATCATCCATTTCCCAGACCCCACCACGTGGCCCTTGTTTTATGCCTGGAGGAAAGAGGGCGACAGGAAAATCGGGCATTTTTCTGGGCAGGTCCCTGTAGTGCACAATCCCTCTGGGGGGCAATCAAACTGCTCTCTTTCTCCAGGGACATCGCTTTCTCTCATGGGTAGCAGCAGGCAGCCCCAGAATGCTCTGAGCCCCATTCCTAGTCCCAACGTGGATGGATGCTGTACCTGAGGCAGTAGAGGGGAGGTTTCTGGGATCACGTATACAGTCAGAGCACCCAACAAGTCCTCCTGCAGTGGGTGCAGTGCAACGTCTGCCTCTGGGGCAAAGAAAAGAGTTAGCATTGTTGGGATCCTCACTCCACATCGCACATTCCAGGTATCATGGTAGCATCCATGGGGGATGGAGCAGAAGTTATCAGCTGTCCAAAGGAAATAATCCAGAGAGGAGAACCCCTCCCCCACTCCCAGCCCATAGAGGCAGGGATTACCTGGCTCCCTCACAACCCCCACTACAACACAAGTCTATCTCCACAGTCACAATCAGATCCCTGCACCCACCCCCCCAGGCTCCTGGAACCAACCCCGGAGCACCCATTCCTGTGCCCCAAGAGCTCCACATGGAGCTGATCAGTAGCAATCCTTGCAGGCCCTTTGCTCCTCATAACCAGCAGTGTTTCTGGGCAGCACAGCAGCAGCTTCCCCAGCTGCCAAATTACCACCCACCACCTGCATCTCGCTCAGGCCTAGCAACTGGATGGCATGGGAGAGTCAGGACTCCCTGCTCTTCACCAACTCTACCAAAGGCAACCCAGTGCATCCTACAGAACCAGCATAAACCTGTACCTTCCACAGTGGCCACGGCCAAGGCTGCCTGCTCTGTGACGGTTGCACTCCGATAAGTCATCGCATAGCAGGACGTAACGCTTGCTTTTGCTGCAGAGAAGGGAGAGAGCCGGTGAGGCCACCTGGCCCTGTGTGTGTGCTCTCCAGCATCAGGGCCCAGCGCTGGCAATCCTAATAAGGAACCAGGGACGAATGGGGAACAGTACCTTCTCCTAGCTGGGCATTTGCCTTAAGTCTCCGCTCCCAGAGTTGGGCAAAGTCTCACTGCCCAGATGGTCCATCCCCATAGGCAGGACACTAATCTGTGTTCCCTGGGGTTGGCCCAGACTGATGTGTCACAAACACTGGGGAGAGAAATTCAGGATGACCCACCCCACTGGCAAGGAGCTTCTTTTCCTTCTCTTTGTTTTACTCCAATTCTTGTTCTCCTCCTACCACACGGTGTATCCCCAGACACTCAGGAGCCCTGTGTTCCAAGCTACACTCAGCTCTCCGAACCTTCCCTCCAGCCCAGGGCGTTCAGTCTTTCTTACTCCAAGCCTGCAGGCTGGGATACCTGGGGAGGAGCAGTTCTGAGGGCAAAAGCAGGAAGCAGACCATGCTTCCTGCCCTTAACCCCACAAGCCTGTCTCTCTCTAGCCCAGTGCCTAATTGCTCTGGGGTCACAAGCAGCGTTCCCTCTAACATTATCCATCCTTGGCAGGTTCACATTTCTTATGTGCACCACCAATATTGAGGTTGTATGAGGATGTGCAGCATGTCCTAGTACAAACAAAAAACTAGGTATGAATATATATTTTAAACAGTAAATAGGTACGGAAGACAATATATTAAAACAAGGGATAAGTAACAAGGAGTAATGCTTAAGATGTTTATTTAATATGAAATCAAATAAAGAAAACTAACACTACTCTTAGAGTGCATGTATTATTGTCCTTTCTAACAACTCAAAAGCTAACAAACACACCAAAATGGGGCATACTGCAAATAGCTATATAAATAAATCAAAGACATAGCCATTAAATCTAAAAAATATGCAAAACTTTAAGCTGCTAAACAAATTATGAGTCATCTAGAAATAGTCATGCTCTCCTTGAAAATATTAATACAGTATTTACTGATACTGGAAAGGAGAGTGAAAGGCATTCACTCAGGCTTATACACTTTCTCTGGGGAATGTTTAGGATCCATGCTAGCCAAATGAAACAGAGATCTGTAAAACAGATAAAAGTTCTGGTTTGAAATTTTCACCGTGTGTGTATCACTAACTCAAAGAGTAGAAGCCTCCAGAATCCAACTCCAATTGAAAGCACAGATAAAAGTTCTGGTTTGAAATTTTCACCGTGTGTGTATCACTAACTCAAAGAGTAGAAGCCTCCAGAATCCAACTCCAATTGAAAGCCAAAACAAATTAAACAGGATTCATGGTAAAGTTCTTCCAGTTTTAACAATTTACCATATATTAACTAGACACACAGGATTAAAAAAAACAACAACATTAAGATCAGAGTTTGCAAACATATACAACACAAAAAAAGTTAAAAGAATCCTCTCCTTTCTTACCTTAAGCCATTAACATCTATGTAAACTTTGTTTGAAATTTGACCGTGCAAATGTCATGAGCTAGGCCTTTTGTTTCAGTATTTAAAAGGAGCCTAAAAGCTTTTAACTCACCTAAAATGTTGGAACTACCCCATACAGCCGGCCCCAGCCCAGGAGAGAGTCCTATGTCTGCAGCCCAAGGGGGGGGGGGCACATGGAGGAGCAGGAAGAAGCTGATACATATGGGAAATGGCTTTCAAGCCAGCTCTCCATGCATAGTGGCTCCTATGGAGCCGCCTGCCCCCCACCCCCCCAGTGCTGCCTTTTTATCAGAGGCAGCCGGGTGGGGGGCCGGAGCCAGTGCTACTCTCCCTCCCCCCACCCGCATGTAAACATGAAACTTCTAAAATTTCAAGAGGTTACATATTTACGCAAATACCCGGCAATCAGAGGTTCTTACAGTTTAACAGGTTCTCCTCCTCCTTTGTGTCTGAAAAAGGCAGTCTCCTCTGTTGAGCTCCCGACAGAGCTCCCTTGGCAAAAACCACGGAGATGGGCACAGTCAACTGGAACTGAGCAAAGAGCAGCATTACCTGGCAGTGCAAACCAGCCCCTCACTATCATCCCAGCTTCTGGCAACCCCCCACACCATCCTCACAGCCCTTCTGGGACCCCAGGGACACCCTGCATTACCCCCAGCCTACTCAGAGTCCCTGAAGCCCACTAGAATTTCAGTAATATCTGAACCCTGGGAAGGGAGACCGCTGAATTGCTGCTGCCACCAACTGGAAACTCCCGTGTCTGTATCAGGAGTCCATGCCAAAGAGCACAGACAAATACATGACATTTAATGAGGAGTGGCCACTGCAGGGCAACAAACTCCTGCCCAGATGAGCCAGTCCCTAGCACAGGCAGAGGGCTAGCAAAGCAAGACAGGTGCATTCAAATGGCACAGTTCTCTGCTTACCACTCTGCTCCTGATCCCAAAACCATTGCCCAGTAGAGGGGCCTGTATATAAGGGCAGTGCTGGGCCCTGGGAGGACTGAAAATAAGGCCCCAACAAGCACCACTCACTGCCACGGCTGGAAAGAAGGGCAAACAACAGCCAGGGCTCCTGGAGGCCTGTGGGTGTTACAGGCCAACCAACTTCCAGTCTAGGGAGAACATGCTGCAGGGCTTAGCACTGCGCTCAGCTGCGTGAGGACTGGGGTGAGAAGGGGCCTAGACTGCGAGAGGAACAAAGTGAAGTCAGCCTTGGGCTGGCTTTTTCCCCAGAGTGGGGGGGTGACCGCAGGTCACTCCTGAAGCCAGAGGCAAAGCAGGCTGCAACAAGGCTTGGATAAGAGTGGGACAGCTGGCTCCCTGCCAGAGGCTCCATGCTGCTCCACCCCATCTAGCGCAGGACTCCTGCCCCCTTCCCAGGGAGGCCAGCCATGGGCCACCAGCCAGCCAGGCAACCCTCCATCGCTCGCCACAGGGCCCAGCACCTACCCGGAGGGAGCCCAGTGCACTGATCCCCCCGTAGGGCAGCGAAGCTCGGTACGTCTCCGTTGTCTTCCCCAGCGCCAGGGCCAGGGCGGGGAAGGAGAGGGCAGCGCGCGTCCCCCGCGCCTTCTCTGCGGGCGGGCAGACAGGCAGCAATGCAAAGGCCTGATGCCCAGGGCCCGGGCCCGACCCCCCATGGCCTAGGTGGTGGGGCGCTGGCCCCGCCCACCAGGGAGCATCACCAGCGGCCCCTCAGACAGG